GTTGATTCTAGATTATCGTCACACATTCTGTATGACTTGCTTGGGATTTCCCAGCCTCGTTTGATCATTAATAATGGGTAGGAGCTAATGCTCCTATGTTTCTACAAAAAAAAAAATCATTTTTTCCCAAACACTACAACTTTTACATTTTAATTAAAATCATTTCTATTTACAAACACTATTTACTTTTTAATAATCTCTTGAACAAATCACTTTAGATTAGCACAATCAATCGCAAACACTCCCTAAACTGTTGGATAAATAAATACCACTTCATGTGGTATATAATGTGTGTGAATATGATAAGTTTTTTTTAGAAAATTGTTAAATTAGCCAATGCATTAGATAAAAAAAAAGTCAGTGGTATATAATGTGTGTGAATATGATAAGTTTTTTTTAAGAGAAAATTGTTAAATTAGCCAATGCATTAGATAAAAAAAAAGTCAATTATACCATGGTACTCAATATTTAGTCAATCAAATGGACAAACTTTTTAAAAATTATCCAAATTAAGATTTAGAAGGCCATCTATATGTTAAGGATACATGCTTGTGGGGCAACCAATTTGGCTCTAGTTAATTTTATTTTATTTTTTTATAAAGTCTGGTTCATATTTTGTATAATCGGCTGCAGTGTATGTGTTGTACACCCAGGTATAATTAAGCATCTTTATCTTTTTCACTTTCGCATTCTCATATCATAAGTAATGTATACACATTTGGCACTTCATTCATGCTCATTTTATGATGTCATATACCAATGTATGTTCTTTTAAAACATTCTACGCATTTATATATGTAGTATATAACATAAAACTCATTTCAACAATTGATACACATAATATATTTATGATAGAGCAACTTAATATAGTTAGGTTTATTTAATCAATTATTAGTAGTTTTAGCAATGAGAAAGTAACAATCGTATTAAGAACAATAATTTATAATTCTTTGTCCTAAATATAAACTTTATCGTGATTATTTCCTTTTGCAATGATCATGATGATAAAATAACTCAAAATTTATCATTTTGCAAAAGAATAAATGAGTCTATGATGATAAAAGGGCTCAAATGTTAGAGACAATTGAATTTAACAATATTGAAATTCGGGATTTAAGTATTGTCACACCTTGTTGGTACTATTAGTCCCTTTGTAAATTAATCTCAAGTGTTACAATCACCCCCACTTAGGATCGCAATGTCCGCGTTGCGCCCATAAGCGGCCAATTCAATCTCAATCATATCCCAAAATCTTCTCCTACTAAGCACCCGCCCGATATTCAACAGATCAACACACTATCGCTAGGTTGCTCTGATACCACCTGTAACACCCCGGCCCTGCAGGACCCGAGGTAGTTACAGGGGTCATCCATCATAGGACTACTCCCGTGCAAGCACGCTTAACTTTGGAGTTCTTAGTTGATGAACTCCCTTAAAAGGAGATGCACCTTGTTGGTATGAGTAATACTATTAATCTCATTTTAAATTAATCTCAAGGGTTACACCTATTGTCACTAATGCCACTAATCCCTAATATTACTTGTGTTAAACCTAAGTTACATACCCCTAAGACTTTTGATCGACTTGTTAGCTGGACTAAACCCCTTGTTAATTTTATCAAGATCAACTTTGCCATTGACAAAATCAGGGAAGTGACGTTATTTCTGGTCTCCTTATTCGGGATAAACCGACCAAGATCTTAATTTCATTAGTGTAGTTCTTCTGTAAGAAGACTCTTCAGGTTGACAATTATATCAAGTAATCCAGGTTGTAAAGTGAATAAACCGACCAAGGTAGAAAGCACTCGCAAATCTCAACGCTTACCAGGAGACATTTCAAAAGTACATCCTTTTGTACTTTAATATTAAAAAAACATGTAATAATTTGGCTGATTATGTAGCGGTTAACGAGCGGGATTATGGTGGTGATGGAAGCGAGGGTGATGGGGGGTGGGTGGGGTGGGGCGGCGGTTAGGGTAACTGGCGGCGGCGAGCTAGCATTTAAGGGCTAAGGGGGGTCGGGGGCCGATAGTTGGGGCTAGGGTAGGCTAATCGATGGAACAAGGAGAGAGCTAGGATTGGTTGGCAAGGGGAAGAGGGCACTGGGGAAGGTGGTTAATTACGAGAATTAAATCGGTCACTGGGGAAGGTGGTTAATTACGAGAATAAAATCGGTCACTAGCGACAAGTCACTCAGGCGCCAGTGCAACTTTTACTGTTGCGGTAGTGTAACTATCATTGACAGTGGTGGTCATTGGCGGCGACGAGTCACTGGTGACGGTGGTCACTGGCAGCGGAGATCACTAGTGGTAGTGGTCACCGACAACAGGGGCGGTGGTAGTGGGGGACTTACTGACCGACAATGGCCATGGAGTATTTGGAGAGGTAGTTTAGTAAATTGATTTAGGAGTTTTCCATAATTATTGCTTGATTAGTCTTATTGGAAAAACTAAAAAAAAATGTCTTTTCTCGTTTAGTAATAGTGTTTGCTTGGGAGAACTGGCTTTGGGATCTCCGGTCCTGTTGTACACCAAACCTCCGGGCGGTCTGCAGTCCCGAGGGATCTATGCATTCATGACCCGTGGGGTGAATGGTGATGTGAGGGAAAAACGTGGCGTAGCCGGGGTGGCCTCCGCTCGTCTATCCATTTCGGCCATTCGCCGCTCCATTGCCTCTAGCCGGGCCTCCTGTGCGGCCCTTCCGGGGGACACAGGAGGGGCGGCCTCGAGTGCAACGTTTCCTTCTTGTACAACCGCTTCGGGTTGCCTCCGAGTGATGTGGGCACCTTGCCTTTGGAAGCGACGCCCAATGTTGCTGGCAGTGGGGGTGATTTCCGTGCCCCGATGCCCTTGGGATCCGTCCGGCGTGTGGCCCTGATGGTCGTCTTGCCATCCATAGCGAGGGGTACTGGCATTGGTGTGCCCCCTGGTCCCTTGGGATGGTGGATTCTGGCCCAACCTCGTGTGGACGGATGTGCGGTGTCCGGCAGATTCCGCTGTTTCATCCAGGGATTGCATATGATGTATTGGCGAAATGGGCGTCCAGATTGTATTTGGCTGAATACACCTCATCAGCCGCCTCATGTTCGTCCGCCATCCGGCGCATGGTGTCCGCCAGTTCCCTCATGAGTCGAGGGTCGCGCCTAGCCTCATTGGGGATAAGGTTGGTGAGCCCACCGTCGCCGCCAGCGGTCCGTAGTGTCTCAGATCACTCCGTAGTTTGCCCGCGGCTTCTTCGCCCGTGAGACAGTCGCTCCGAGAGGTCGCGTTGTTGATTGTTTCTTGCCATTGTGTTTGCTGTGGGTAGATTTAGTAGCTGTTTTGGGAGAGTTTTTGGAAACTTTTAGTTCAGTTTCCCACAGACGGCGCCAGTGTTGAGGTTTATTCCTTCAACCCTCGGGTCCAACACGTAAGCCCAAGAGTTTCGAGTGGAGTGTGTATGAATAAACTAGCCCAACTTACAAGTAAGATGGAATAAGAGACAGTAAGCAGCAAGTAAGATATTAGGTATTACTAATCAGTAAATAACTCCCCAATACAATACTTTCGCTAAGGCTCGTCGGCCGTTCGTCTTACAAGGCAGTAGAAGGGTTGCGAGTAAGGATGCTATAAGCTAGAATGTTAGGAATAGTAAGTTGCCAACTCTTTACAATGAAATAAATGCTGCTATTTATACCACCAATGGGCAGTTGGCTGTGCTGACGTGGAGGATTGTGAATGGCTGGTGCTCCAACCACCAAATCTTCAGCATTAAATGCGCTTCCCGCCAGGATCTGGGTTTCCCGCCTAATTAGTGGGGACGTTCGTCTAGCTGGGGGAGGTGGGCTGCTCCTGGTGATACCGCAAAGGGTATTGGGCCGTTTGTATCTTGGCCCTTGGAGGATTTGCCATACGGATTGGTTTGTCATCAAGTGGCTATGGGCTTGAATCGGCGACGTTCGTCGTCACCATAGTGGCTCGTGGGCCTGATTCACAGTCATATGTGTGGATGTTCGTCGGGATGGGTTGGTAAGCCCAAGGTCTTGGATCCGACGTTCTTCTTCACCAATTCGCCTGTTAGCTTAGCCCACCCAAAGTCCTGTATGGACGTTCGTCCGAAAGACGGGGTAAATGGGTCGGCCCCTGCTTGGGTCATTAACCCAACATAACTAATTAATAAAAATTTGACCTTTTGATTTAGTTCTTTTTGTTGTAATAAGTTGCTGTGATTAATAAATCTAAAAATTACAGACTTTTCTGAGATGCTACTCAATACCGTTTTTCAACAAACTCATATATTTTCATACAAAATATAAATTTGTAGAAACGTTTGTTTTTAAAAGAAGATCCAGAGGCTTATCTTTCGAAAACTGAAAATTGACGGACTTTTTATCATTTTTAATGGGGGTTGCTTCGCGCACCCCCACAATTGCTTAACGTAACCATGAACGGACAAATTTGACCTTCTTAATTATTAACTAAATTAATTATAATTAAACGTAAATAAAAATGGCTTCGCGCACCCTAACGTTTCTATGCTCGGCTCTATCATGTTCTTACAATTTTACATTAAATGTACATTCAATAAAATGATGACATGTGGCAAGTTATTCCTTTTTTTTATAAAATGTCATAACTTTTTCATTTTTTGCTCATATTTTTATAAAACTTATATTAAATTGAATATTTTTTTATGATGTTTCATATGACACCCATATTATATATGTAAATTTTTTAAAAAAATCTGGTCAAGTCTAGTCAGATTTGATCCTATTTGTTTGAATCTATGTGATTCGAAATCAGTTCAATTAAAAACATTATAAATATCATTCACATCATAAATCTAGTAATATAACATGGTGCTGATGGAGTTTTAAAAGGCGGGGCCCTCCACCTTTGAAATTAGTCAAACAAATAAAAAATGAAGATAATTAGTTTACTAGAATTAAAAATGTTACTTATTCAAATCTATAATTAAATATAATTAAATATATAATTGCGCAAAGTAAAAAACAAAACATTTGTGTTTTTATAATATACTCCCTTCGGTTTTTAACTTCACACTTTCCTTTTTGGGACGGTCTAAAATAAACTTCACACTTCCTTATTTCCTTTTTTGGCAAAGAAATCTACATCAAAACAGTGCCAAACAGTGTCAAACAGTGTCTCAACAGTGCCAAACAGTGTCTCAACAGTGCCAAACAGTGCCTAAACAGTGTACTCTACAGTAAAGTCAAATTTCTTTCCTTATTTTGTGTGAAGTCAAAGAGTGAAGTTTAATAAAAACCGGAGGGAGTATAAGGTTTATATCAATCATCCAATACAATTGGAACATGGTCTCTTATAACATTACGACATTCTGTAAACTGTTTAATTCGATGAAGAAGTGGAGTATCCCATCCTGCAACACTAGCGTTGTGATAGTAAGACCATGTCGTAATCACTGATGGCAACAGAGCGTTGTCGTCAAGCCAAATCTGTGCATCAACACAAGTTTTCATTTTATGCATATCATATGGTAATGTGAAAATAAAAAAGGTAATGTGAAAACAAAATGGAACTATAAAATATTGTTTGCTTACAACTATGTAGTGTTGTTGGGAATGAAGCCGAGCAATGCAAAAAATTGTCTTCGGAGGACTACTACCCGGGGGAGCGATCATGGGCAAACAAGTGACTGGTTCGTGGAGGTCAAGATGCACTAAAATAACCTGGTATACCGTTGCAAAGATCAACCCTGTGTGTGGCATGTGTATCCAATGTCGGGGTGGTGCAGGACTGGTGTAGTAGTCTATTTGCTCCTGCAACTCATCAATAGTGTCAAGAAGGCATATAGGATCATACAGCCCACGATGACGATCAAGTTCTTCCACTAACTCCCTTCGAACTCTAACCCATTCTTTTTCTCCCCATCCTAAAAGCTCTGCAAGTGAGCGATATCCGCAATGTCCATCTCCAATAATTTCCACAACTTCACTAATATGCTCAAGCATGAATGTCTCAACATCATTACCGAAATTAAATTGCATTCGATTTTGATTCCCTTTAATATCCTTGCCATGTCCATGAGACCCATGACGTGATATTATAGCCTTGGATTTTTTGTATTTCTTCTCAGTGTACTCCCACTCGCTCGGGTCTCGAGTGGTTGATTTTTTTTGGGCCTTCCCTTCGTTTCATGAATCGGTGGCTCTTTCATAGTATTAAGTTTTGGATTTCTCATCTCATTCCATTTTGCATGAAGTCTTTTTTTTCTTGTGCTGACATACGACCTGATTGAAACTCATCAACTATGGTTTTTAGGACCACATCATCAACACTTATATCATCGGCCTTGTCATTGTCTTGTTCCTTATTTACATACCATTCAACTCTTCTCCAAAATTCATGTACCATTGATGGATGTAGTGGACGATTATCGGCTAATCGCGAATACAAGATGCTAGCTCGTGTGGACATGGTAAACCATAACATTCCCTCCACCAATAATCATTGCAGATTGGATTGTAATTTCCTGCTATGACCTCATCATGCATCTTTATTAACTCATTCATGCACTCATTTGACACCATGTGTTGAAGCTGGCTAAGTATTGGAATCTTATTCAATACAGTTGGAATGGTGCAACGTGACAATTCTAAAGATCGCCTCACTTCATCCAATTGATCATTCAGCAAGTTGTTTATCTCAACAAAAACATTGTCAAATCCCTTAATGGATGAGACTAATTGTAGCTTTAACGTTGCATGTGCAGATTCCACCCTGCAGCACAAATTTAATGAAATAAAATCAAAGAAATTATTCATAATTTTTTATAAATATATTTATTTACCTGTTAGTAGTCCTTGTTCCAAAATGTGTGACATGGTCCGTCCAAACTCTCACTAAACGATCTTTGTACGGGTCCAACCAATTTTCAGTAAGATATCTCATAAGGCCCCAATTGTTCTTCCATTTCGATCTCATATGTTTTAATTGCTCTCATATTGATCGACAATGGTTGAACTAAATAGCTTCATGCATCCTTTTGAAAAGGATAGTTGGATCGTCTTCATGTTGCTCAATTTTAAAGCTTTATCTTCTATGTTACGCTTGACATGTACCATGCACAATATATGCTTACATTCTGGGAAAACTTCACCGAGTGCTTTTATCAAACCTAACTCTCGGTCAGTCACAATCGCTAATGGGGAACAAGGACATATTAGCTTTAACTCATTTAAAACCCAAATGTAGTGCTCTGCGCTTTCAGCTCCCATCCACGCAAATGCAACAGAGAATGTCTTCAACGTACTTGTGAATCTCACTATTTCCAGAAAAGGCATCTTGTACCTATTATAATTAATCAAGTATATTACATGCAATTTATATCATTTGGTTGAATGAATAGTTATAAGGGTTAATTACCTAAATAGGAGTAAAAAGTAATCAATAATCACAAACAAGACTACATTGTTTTTTTAACACACCAGTAGGACTAATTGAGTGTATTTGGACAAATATACCCTTGTCACTATTGAAATGATTTAATTCATAATAAAATCATAATAAATTATAAAAAATCATAAAAAACTAATAAATACATTTATAAAAAATTATGAAAAAATACAAATATTTTATTAATTATTAATTTTTTTTCTACGATTTTTATTATGAACGAAAACATTTAATTATGACTCTTGACTACTTTTTACTCCTATTTAAAGGAGTGGTAAGAATGGAATGAAAAAGTACATATGTTTTGAAATAGGAGTAATATGGTCCTATTTTGAAATAAAAATATAAGAAGTCCTATTTTTTATTTTTACCCTAGTTTTACTCTTATTTGGGGTAACTTTTATAGTTATAACTTAAAAGAAAATATTTAAAAGAAAATATTTTACCTGTTTGTCTTGTATGTTGTGTCCATGATGAGAACATAAGGAAAAAGTCGCAATAATTTTAGTGAATCTCGATGCGCGAATATCATGTCATGTAAATCTTCACTCCCTGGCACTAATCTATTGGCCTCAAAGTAATCATACTTTGAAATCAAATGAAGTAATTGTTGCATGACAGTGCGTCCATCCATCCATTCCTTCTTAAGCTTGCATCTTGCATTGTACACTTGCTTTCTAGATGTAACATTTTCAGAGTTCGCAATTTTTAAACTATGGAGAATTGGCTTAGGCTTGCAACCCGCCTCAGATAAGTCTCTCACCAAAGAAATCTCTTGCTTTGTCAATTTACCAGCAAATGCGTGTCCCACTAAGCTCGTTGGAATAACATGATTGTGAAATCAACAATTAACCTGCAATCGCCATAAATTTCGCTCCACTTCACTCCCATATAATGCAAAAGGGCAATCACTTTTTTTTTTGTTCTTGTAACTTTCTTTCCTTTATCTTGTTGCACCCTTGGAGTATTGCCTTTTTTTTGCAGCTCGATACTTCCCGAATTTTTCACATGCGAGAAGGACATTACCAAGCTTTTTAGAATTACTTGGCCTCGATTTTGCAATAGTTAAGACCATGTTTCTCTTAAGCGCCTCAACTCTAGCCCAATCAATCATAGACTCCCGATCCGCCCAAGTTTTATGAGTTTGAAAGTCTTCTGAAAAATCATGTGAAATGAATGGTTGTGCTTCTTCAACAATTGGAGGTTCAAACTTCACTTCTTATTCGACAAAAGTCGAGCTATCATCATGAAAAGTAAGACTGACATACACGTCACTGTCATTCTGCATATATCATATTTTTATAAAAGCAAAAAATATGAGATACATGTATTACAAGCAAAATACATTTATATTTGGACTTTTTATACCTGACTTATTTTTCATAGTTGAACAAAATATGCTCACCAATTTCTTAAATTAATAATTTATTAAATTCACTTAAAAATGCAAAATATTATACTTCGTAACTCATTAAATTTACAAATAGAAACATATTTAAAAACTGCAATACTTTTTTTATTTTCAATACTTCTATTTTTTAGTTTCGTACACGTGTTACTAATATCTAAGTTCGATATAGTATAAGATAAGATGAGACCGAAACGAGTTCAACTGAAAATATCAGTTACACTATACAAGTTTGAAAATGATCAAAAAATTAATTATGCTTATTTATATTTAAAATTTTGGATCAATAAAAAATATATTAAACTAACATTCTAAATTATATGTAGGAGCCGTTAATTTATAAAAAAGATAATATGAAGTGTACTTATTAGTTTGACAAAAATTAATTATTGGGTGACATTTATTTTAATTATTATAATACAAATAAGGATGTTTTTAATTGAATTAAAATTTACTAATCTAGTCTAATCTGGTATAATTTTATATTACTTGTTCTAGGAAGTTTGGTCTAGTCTAGTCTAGTTTGAACTGGTCTGTCCTATTAGATGTATGTTTATGCGCGGTTTTTTTTTCTATTTGTGTTATACAACTATCGAAATTTGATTTGGTTTGGAGGTCGTTTGGAACCACTGTTTTTCGGCTTATGGGGCTTATCAGCCAGTTTTTTCGCCAAACACGTAACTTTTACTTTCGCCCGTTGAATTGTGTAATAAGCACAAAAAGTAAGGCTGAAGTTACTTTTCTGGCTGTATTGGCTAAAGTTAGTGTAGGTGACCATTTTAGCTATTTTTACATATAATGTTTTCTTTATTTTATTAATAAAATATATTTTAAAAATAATTTTTTCTTAAATCAGCAGAATTAACCAATGCAACCTGAACTTCATAAATTTTAGCAGAACCAGCCAAATCGGCCGATTTTCGTGCTACCAAACGGGCTCTTGATTTGGAATAAAAAACATCACAATTAAACATCTCGATTAATTTTTTTTCTTCTAGATACTGTCAATCATAGTGATATGATAATAGAAGAAAAACAATTTTTATTCAATATAAAGATGAATCAAAAGTGTATATATGACCATCAAAATATTAACGAATATTGTATACGACAAACTTAATGAATCACATCACAAAGAAGAATGGAGATACAGATAGTGGTAGGGGTGGGTTCGGTTCTTGCGGTTCGATTCTGACCTAAAACCAAATATAGAATCAAAGTAAAAAGTTCGGTTTGGTTTCGGTTCGGTTTTACACTTCAAAACTTGGAACCACGGTTTGATTGGTTCGGTTTGTTTCGATTCGGTTTCGGTTTTTTCGGTTTTTTTTGCCAAAAAATTATCATTTGATTTAAAATTGTTATAATACTTTGAGGGATCAAACATATACATAATATTACATAAAGAATGCAAGCACACTACAACAAATAAAATAAAAATAAAAATAAATAAATATGTCTTGAATTATATGAGTATGCGAGAGAGATAAAAATATATATTATTAATCTACATTGTTTGTGACTAGTTCAAAAAAAAATTCATGAGTATATAGTTATATACGTTCTATGTGATATAGTTGAGATGAATATTTATTGTTTCATCAATATGAATTCTTTAAGTTAAATAAAAATAAAAGTTAATTAATACGAGTACTAATAACTAGTAAAAACATATTATCATCATTTCGTATAGCTACATTATTACGGACAATGAATGTGTAAATGAATTTATAAACTAAACTAAACATAACACAAACATTATTTCTCTAGCACAAGAAAATCAAAGACTATTAATGATATTAGGATTTGTTAGGATTAATGCTTAACAATTGCCAAATAAATTTTATATTTTAATTAGTTCGGTTTGTTCGGTTCGGTTTTGAAGAGTAAAAATCAAAACCGAACCAAACAACTACGGTTCGGTTCGGTTTTTTACATTTGGTTTCGGTTTGTTAGCGGTTCGGTTTTATTTGATTCGGTTTTCGGTTTTCGGTTTTTCGGACCCAGCCCTAGATAGTGGGACAGATGAATACCACATAAGTGTGAAAAGCAAGAGTACTTTTTTTTAGATAATTTTCAGATTCATCCTCCATTGTATAAGAAGATTGTAAAAAAATTATAAAAGCATTAGTAACGAGTTTTAAATATTTTTATAGTAGTTGTTTGATGGTAATTAGAAAGTGTAATTGTGATTGTATAAGGAATTTAAGTGCATTTGGAAACATGTAACACAAACTTTTGGAAATATAAATACCTTTTTTTTTTAAAAAAAAAACGGCTTGTGATTTTGGAAGCTACAAGGTCAAAAAAACGGCTGTGTGTTTGACTTAGGTTAGGAGGTGCGCCTAGTAATCTAGTACCATTAGAATAGATTACTTGGCTGAAGGACATAATTGACCAGATTGGCCAAAAAAATGGTGCGCTAAGCCATTAACATGGCGCGCGGAGCACGAGCGTTTTTAATTAGGGGTTATGTCTAAAATAATACTAAAAAAAGAGCTATGAACAAAAAAGAGACCTTTATTTCAATTTTCCAAAAATGAGACTAACAATGGGTTAAGAGACTATTATACCCTTATTTTAATAGAATCTCACCCATTAGTCTACAATAACGCCACAGTGACCAAAACCATTATCGTGACCAAAATTCGTCACTGACCAAAAATCATTTGTGACCAAAAATCCAAAAATCCGTCAGTGACCAAAATCATTAGTGACAAAAAATTCTACCTAGTTACCAACGTCAACCCGTCCAGTGACCAATCCGACTAGTGACCATGACCAATCCACCCAGTGACCAAAAATCATTTGTGACCAAAATTCCAAAAATCCGTCAGTGACCAAAATCATTAGTGACCAAAATTTTTACCTAGTTACCAACGTCAACCCGTCCAGTGACCAATCTGACTAGTGACCATGACCAATCCATCTAGTGACCAAAAATCATTTGTGACAAAAAATCCAAAAATCCGTCAGTGACCAAAATCATCAGTGACCAAAAATTTTACCTAGTTACCAACGTCAATCCGTCCAGTGACCAATCTGACTAGTGACCATGACCAATCCACCCAGTGACCAAAAATCATTTGTGACAAAAAATCCAAAAATCCGTCAGTGACCAAAATCATTAGTGACCAAAAATCATTTATGACCCAAAATCCAAAAATCCGTCAGTGACCAAAATCCGACTAGTGACCATGACCAATCCACCTAGTGACCATGACCAATTCACCCAGTGACCAACCCGATTAATAACAGTTACAT